AACAATGTTTGGACAAAAAATCTCAAGATTTAAACAGACAAGTTAGAAGTCTTTTTGATCTGACTACGGCTATTAACCGAAACCTTGTCGCTTATCCATCCAGCAAGCAGAAATGTCTTGGGCACCCTGGCAGTATATACCAGGACGTACAGTAAGTAATCTGACATTTTTTACGTGGTCTAGCTTCGTGTAACCGTTTTACACATTATGTCACTTTGGATAAATTTGAATTCCAGCGTTTCAAAAATGTACAAAGGATGTAGCCAACAAAATCTTGTCTGACAACATCCAATCCTTGATAATGACAGAGACAGTTGAAAGTACTTTTTTTAAAAAAAATCATATCACCTCATACAAGGCAGTAAAGCTATTAAGACACTAAGATTACTGAGTGTGTAAGAACAGAAAAAAAAAGAAGAAAAATTTTAGGGAAAGACGAGTAATTTTAGGGATAGAAGAGTAATCGGCACAGTAGATAGCGATCGACATTTCATTTAAATTTTTGAAGATTAAAATTGACTGGAAAGCATGGAGTCAGAAAGAGTTCCACAAACGAGAAGTGCGAGAAAAGAAACTGTCAGCGTAGAACTAACTGTTATATCCAGCCAATTCAACTGTAAATTGATGAGACCTTACTGCCAATCTGGTACTGCGCTTAAATTCATAAAGGTCTATGTACCACAGTGGAAAGCTGATCCGAACAATTACCGTGAAGGTATATATAGAAAAGGCATCGGGAGGCATCTTTACGGCGGTGGGAAAAGGGCTGAAGCCGAGATGTCAGACCAGGACCAATAATATGGCAGATTCTTCTTTGGAGCTTATCAAGGATCTCTAAATATACAGCGGGAACACCGGACTAAGTATGGCAGTAATATTCAAAGCGTGGATGAATGGTAGATTTATAAATGTGCAAGATGGTTTCTGATAAGAAAAATTGTCTGGCACAATACAATGAACCAACTTTCCTAGCAGTAGATCTAGCAATTGATTCAATATTGTTGTGGTAGGATCCACCTAATTTGCATAGTGGAGTACCGACCATATAAATATGGTTGGTACCGGGAAGAGAGTGGAGGAATCAAGAGATTCAATCAGAGACTCTGCCCGACTGCGACTCAGTCAACACATTCTCCAGGAACGGTCTTACCAGGAATATACAAAAGACTATATGTAAATATTGTGTACACTTTCTTGTTTCAATACATTTTGTTCTAAGTACATTTTGTGTTGTATTATTATTCCATACATTAGTCAAGTTTCAACAAATATAATCTTTCTCCTTCATATCAACCGAAAATATTGAATAAAAAATAAAACATGAAGTGTAGATACTTTTTTTACACAGTTCTGATTTCGATTTAAAACTGATTTGAAAATTAAAACAATAAATTTAAACAGCCATGAAAAAAATTAAACAGAGTTTATCGGCTGAATAAGAAACGTTTCGATTAATTTTTGCTGCCTAGACATAGAAAATCTTTGTATATTTCTTTTTCGAATATGAATTAAATTCATGTTTGTATAGCATTTATATATATAAAAAAAAAGTAACGAAAATTGAAATGGATAAGGGAGCGAATGTGAAGATACAGGTAAAGGATGAGCATAAAACAGAAGTCGAGATTATGGATAATATTTGTCAACTGCTGTGGAACTTAATTTGTTATAATATTGTTCACCCAATACATGGCCTAAGAGCCACTCAGGTAGGGTGTATTGAATAAGGGTGTTGTAAGTGCGTAAAATGATAAATTAAAAAGTAAATATTATGAGGATATGTAGGATAGATAACGGCTGACCCTACACTTGAAGTAGTTAAGATCGTACTGATCCTGGAAACATCGTCTAGGGAGTCTGTTCCAAAAAGTAAAAGTTCTGAACAAGAAGTTATCTATTTGCACCATCCGGACTGTTCATCTTTATTGCCATATTCACGATGTTTTGATCGTTGTACTTTCCGGTTTTCTCCAGGTGATATACAGTGGAATTTCGATCCGAACCTTTTATTTAGTCCATGGTAGATTGTTCTAATTCCACATGCCATGCCTTTTTTGTTTGGAAATCTCAGTTTTAGGTACTTCCCTTTAGTAACTCAACTCTCTCGAGTTTTTGTTCACTTCTGCTGTGGCCAGGTATTGATCTCATAACTCTTTGGGTCAAGTCATTTTTTGATTTGGCTTGGTTGGGTTTGTTTTATGGCATATCAAACTAAGTGGGTTATTTAATGCCGACAAAATTTTTATTTCTGGTAACATTTTTTCTTCAAAAATGTATAGCTGATAATATCTTTTTTTTTTTTCAAAAATGTATTGCTGGTAATAAATATTTTTTTTACAAAGCATTTCTCGTATTAAAATCTATTTTTACACTTTCATAGTGTTTTGAGTCAGGTTGTGGGGTCAACTATTTGCCCATAGCTGGGACTTTAACAGGTACTACCACCCAGGGTCAGGGTGGACCTGGGAATACCAGCAATTAAGAGGTGGTTCCACGCTCCTCAAAACCTCCTGATCAGAGCCCTTGCTGTTGGACGTAGCTTATCGTCTTACCCAGGAAGCGGATGTAGCTTATCGTCTTACCCAGGACGCGGATGTAGTTTATCATTATACCCAGGCCGGAAATCATTTTTTGGATTAATCACCCAACGCTTTTATACATTGGGCCATAAAAGACAAATAACTTTTTATAAAAGTAAATGTATTTTAAATTTGTTTTATCCAAAAAGGAAAACTGATTTCTATAGACATCTAAAAATAATTATGTTCTAGCGTTGCAGTATTTATTCCAAAGTGTTGCCAGTTACCAAGATATTGATTGACTGGTTCGTTTTCTACGGCTTCTTCCCGTACGATCACCGAAGTTAAGCAACGTCGAAGCTGACCGCTTGGGCGCCCTTGCATGGAGTATTGCTGCCATATATGGTCTGGAGCCCTTTCTAATTGTCTCAAGGTCCTTGATAAAATCCAAAGACGGATATGCAATGTAATTGGCCCTGATCTGGCGTCTCGTCTGCACTCGCTCTCTCACAGACGTGCCGTTGCCTCCCTCTGTCTTTTTTACAAATACTTTCACGGTAACTGCTCCGATGAGCTGCTTTCGCTGGTTCCCAGACTTCATGAATTTAAGCGCTCAACTAGGCTGGCATCTCGCTCTCACCCTTTCACTGTCGAAACTGTTAAATGTAGCCGTCTCTTCTACTCCAATTGCTTCATGCCTCGCACTTCTCGCCTGGGGAACTCCCTTCCCATTTCTTGTTTTCCCCATAGCTATAATCTCCAACTATTCAAATGTAATGTCAATCGACGTCTCCAGATGCCCTGATCTATCCCCTAACCTTCTCTTCATCCTTTCCTCTATCACTCCTCTTTGCTCTCGCTCCAACTCTCTGTAACCCCTTGCATGCTAGTGGCTTCCCGCCTTACTTGGGGTTGAATGCTTAAAAAAAAATACTACGTATTGTAAGATTAGATGGGCGAGTGATGTAATGGATAATGGCTACAAATGTTTAATCGGAGATCCGAGTTGCGATTCCACTTATATTTATTCACTTACGCGCAAATAACCTTGGGAAAGGTATGAACTCACCTTTTCCCCCCAGCTATGGGTTAATTAGTAAGACTTGTATCACTAAATTATTATCTTAAAAAATAATTCTTCTAAAATATTTGCTGGCTTTAAATAGCCTAAAATGGGTTCATAAGCCGTAGAAAACGAATCGATCAATGAAATACTGATTAGCTACACAGGCATGTCTTTTAAATTTATTTACATTGTCTGGGATATAAATGTATAGGAACTAGCGTGACCACAAAGTGAGGGATCAATTTGCATATTGATTGTAATATAGAATTGATCCCCCACTTTATAAACACATTATATTTTCTTGTTTGTTTATCGAATTATGATTAAGCGTGAATCCACGTCTTCTCTCCCCCAGCTAGGAGTTAATTGTTAATTTGTAAGAAGTTTATCAGTCACTCAGTTATGTGCCATGCGTGATACACACTTAAGCGATCATGTATCTTTCGATACATGACCGACGAGGCAGAATTTTTTGCCATTTTTTGTGCTGTAGACCAGTTGCCATCCAAAGCTACAGAATCAATCAATGAAATTAGCTACACAGGCATCTGGTTTTTAGATTTATTTACATTCTCTTGGATATAAATGTATAGGAACTAACGTGACCACTAAGTGAGGGATCAGTTTATATATTGATTGTAATATAGAATTGATCCCCCACTTTATATCCACATTATAATTTCTTGAAGGCATTTCTTTTAGATGCATTTACATTCTCTGGGATATAGATGTATAGAAACTAACGTGACCACAAAGTGGGTGATCAGTTTACAAATTAATTGGGATCTATAATTGATCCCCCATTTTATGTGCACATTATCATTTGTTTATCAAATTCAGATTCGGTAGAGATCTACCTCTTCTCCCTCCAGCTATAGGTTAATTGTCAATTAGTTCGAATTATATCAGTAAATCATTATTATCTAAAACAAAAATTCTTGCAATGTAAAATATTTTCTGGCTTTAAATAACCTGCAGAGGGTTGATAAATCATAAAAAAAGAATCACTCAATCAATCTTTTGTCAACTAGCAACGCGTTCGAATAAATATTGCAACATTAGATATTTTTAGGTGGCTATAGAAAGCAGTTTTCCCAGTTGAATAAAATAAACAGATTCAAAATATGGCTGTTTTTATGAAAGTTATTCAGTTTTAAATATAGACGTAGGCTCGTGGCGCGAATGATAGAACAAAATGGCGGCGTGGGTAATTTTTTCAATCTTTTCTGCAGTCAATGTTTTCTCACAATCTTTCTATTAATTTTCCCCTTCTCCTCCTCTTTCTTTGTCTCTTTATTTTGTTTTCATCGCCTTGTATTTTAACCTAACCCCCCTCTCTCTCTCTCTCTCTCTTTCTCTCTCTTTCTCACCGCTTATTTTTCCTCATTTCTCCTTCATTTATCTTTTCTTTTTTT